AAAAAAAAAAAATTATATTCTCACTCACTCAATTTACGAAGATATATATCTCTATAATTTTGGCTTTATCACTTTTCTCCCTTTCTGTCTCCTTTCCCAACACATGGGCCTGGTCACGTCTTATCTCTAGCTCCAGCCAATCAAAGTTCTGACTACACAATCCAATTGTATTATCCATTGCCTATTTTCCAAAAAAAAAAAAAAAAAACCAATTGGATTAATGTACGGAGGCAATATCCAAAGAAATTCTACATTCTTCATCAGCAAAAACTTTTATCTTAAAGAAAATTTTAGGTTTTTCCTTTGAAATAAATCAAATGGATGGAGATTGAGAACCTTATATCATTAGAGCCCTAACAAGAATTTATTGAAAAAAATGAATGTGGTTGTTTACCAAAAAAAGAAACAAAATGAATGTGGTACCTTCAGTGCACTTTTATGTAATATCCCCAAGAAATTGGAAATGAATCTCTCTGAATTAATCTCCACCACCAAGAAATTGTGGTCCCTTCTGTAAATGAATTTTTCGGTAGAGGGATTTTGAAGATGAAAAGTGGTGGAATTGCGAGGGAGATGACAAGTGATCTCGGCGGTGTGTCGGGAAAGGAGACAAGAAAGGATGAAAGTAGCGAGGATAAAGTTGAAAAGATTTATAACTCTTTAAAATAAGAGGTGAAAATGTAATTTAACAAAATAAAAAATGAAATATGTATCCTTAATAATATCTCATATCTCATGTGTAGGGATGGTAATTTTTTTCTAAATCCGTAAAATTTTGTGGAGATCCCCATCACAAAAATAAAAATTTTAAGAATATTTCTTTTTGTAAGGTGGGGATAGAGACAATTTTTTCTCATGAAATTTTGTTAAGAATTTTCTCTATCTCGTGGAGATCTTAGAGATTCATATATAATAAAAAAATATAAATTTATTTATATATATTTTTATAAATATATTATTAATTAATTTTTACTTACTTAATCCAATTAGCTAACCCAACTCAACCTGAATTGCCTAACCTAATTCCTTGTCCAATTCTAGTCTTCCCAAACCCAAGTCAATAACTCAACCCAACTTGAACATATATGGCAATTCATGCATTTTTTTATTATGAACTTACTGCTAGATCTACTAGACATGTATGGCAATGTGTATTTGTTACAACTGGATACAACATTATATATTAATGTATTTACTCATTTGAGTTGTTTTAAATTTTTATTTTTTTATTTATCAAAGAAAAAAAAAACAATGTTAAATCTATATATTTAATGCTTGACAATGACTCCACAAACCCATAGGAACTTATCATTTCCTGTAGGTATGGGCCTATGGGTATGGGGATGGAGCCCATTTTTACTTATTTACCAAAAATCCCCATGTGAGGATCCAAATACCCGCCATTGGCAAAGATGAAGATGGGGAAGGGGTCCTCACCTTCTTGGGTACCCGTTACCATCTTTACTCATGTGGCCATAACTTGAAAAATGTTATGTACATTCTGATATCATCTTTGCCTGCATTTGTAAAGGTATTTAATTATTGCACGATGGAGGATCATGTTAAAACCTATGTCTTGTGTTCAGTTGGAACTAAGGTTATTAAAATTGAGAGTTTAGGTAAAATTATTTTAATAAGGTAAAATCAAATCGTAAAATTATAATTTTTAAGATCATAATTTTACTCTTAAAATCATATGATTTTGCATATTTAGGTATTCAAATTTGAGTTAAATCAAAGTAAAAATCAAAATCTTATAAACTTAAGATAAAATCATGATAAACTCATAAAATCAAGCAAAATCATGAATTTACAAACTTGAAAGGTTTTATAGATTTTTGTAATAAAATCTGACAAGTGGCATCTACTGTAGTGGTGGAGTTGCACACTCTACCCAAACAAGGCTGGTTGGCCATTGATCGAATCTTGGTCATAGCCCTTATTTGGGTTAGATATACAACTCCATCACTTCATTATAGAGAATTAGTTATTATGTCTTATCACAAAAATCTATAAAACCCTATAAAATTTGTAAAATTGTGATTTTGATAACACTAGTTGGAACTTAATTGATTCAAATTTAAATTAGGCTGAGCCTGTGTTAAAAAAAAATGTAATAATAGGCTAAGCCTAAACGAATTGAAATCTATTTTAGGGCTTGGTTTGTTATCAGCCTAACTCTAACTACGTCACTTTCTTAAATCTCCAAATTTTTATATTTTTAGTGCATCACTATTGGGGGTTAGTGTAATATCAGTTGTTCTCTTAAATTTTTATTAAAAGGATTTATTTAAAATAACTTTTTAATTAATATTTAAAAAAATTAATCATTAAGTTAAAAATTATATTTATATAAATCATATATATTGATATAATATTTATAATTTTTTATTAAAAATTATATTTCTAATATGTATTTAACAATATTAAATTTTATATAATTAATCAACAAATTAGTTAGACTTATTAAATTAATTTAAAATTTTACATGATTTATATAAATATAATTTTTAATCTAATAAATAAGTTTTAAAAATATAATTAAAATATAAAATTTTAGATAAATTATCTAAAAAAATTTAGAAAAATAATC